TGCGGGGGGGGGGGGATACAGTGCTCGGTTGATGTTCAATTTTGCCAAAAACAATATGATTAATGTAGAATAATTAAGTGTTGAGGGACTAGGTTTAAGATCAAGACAAATATGGGGGATTAAAGTTATAGGTAGGTCAAGATTGGCTAGCATGGGGGGGAAGCCACAGCGCTCTGACAGCCTGGGCATCTTCCACTTACATCTAAACACCATCTTTTAATGGTGCATTATAAGCATCTCGTTGTTCTCATTTATTAAGGTGATGCGTGTACGAGTAGCTGGTGAATGGATTAATGCCCCTCGGGATTATGTAGTACAATGTAATCAAGGGGCTTTCTGTGTTTTTCAATTTTTTTTGTGCAGTGCAGTGTCTTAAATGCCCCTCGGGATTAAAACTTTTTATGGCTCTGGATGCAAGCGCACTTTCGTAATTTTCTTTCATTTTTTTTGGTTATTGTTATGCAGGGTCAAGGGTAATTGTATCATTTAATATAAATATAAAATAAAATTTAAATAAGAAATTAGTTGGCACGTACGAACAAGTAGATGATGTAAAAGCTTTGGATGCCACCTTTCGTGGTGACTCTAAATACATCTCGCCACCCTCGCTAGGATAGGAGGTCGTGTTCCCCCAGAAGATTGGCATCGAGTTATGACCATGCATTTTTTCGTCGCTTTCTCTTTCATGTCTCCCCTCTGGAAAATTATGTTTCCCATTGCAAATAAAAAAAATAAATCTGGCAATTTATTTAGCGAATCAAATCAAGTTTTTGTTCTTTTAATTGCAATATTTGATCTTAAATCTTTCATTGAGCTCGTTTATATATTAATTTTATTATTTAATTTTTAATTTTTATATAAATTTGATCTAGGTTCTTTTGATTTTTTCTTATTATTTTCTTAGTTGAGATTGTTTTTAATTTTATTTCTTATAATTTTATTTTATTTTTATTATTACATTGAATTTGATCCACGTTCTTTTTAAAATTTATATTTTTTATTATTATAACCTGTTTTTTTAATTTAATCCCTGATTATTTTATTAATTAAAAATTTGACATTATTATCCTTTTAGGTCTACATTTTATGATGTAATATAGCCTTATAGTCAACATCACGGTTTCTGAAAATCAGACTAGGTTAACTTTAATTATTTTTAGATTTATATTTTTTTAAAAAATAATTTCATCCTTTATTACTGAATCCGTTGAAAATTCACACTTGAAAAAATAATGTAATTTTAATAGAGTTATTATGATATCATGTCTTGGTTCATGTATTCAAGAGATTCACCAAGGTTAACTCGAACTTTTTTTTTAAAAAAAAATATTTTTTAATATTAGACCAGTTATAAAATTGAGTTTCATAATTTTATTTAGCCTACTTTTCAAGAGCTTGTCTGAATTCCCCAACCAGATTATAAATTTAGTTATATTTTTATCGAATGAGATAATAAATAATTATCATTTATGATTCCTTCGAGGGACGTGTTTTTAAGAATTCATGTATATGTTAGCTTGGATAGGTTTAAGTGGGTTTTTTTTTAATTTTCTAAAATTATTTTTTTAATTTTATTATTTTTTTATTTATTAGAAGTTGAGATTTATTTTTTTCTATTATATCTATACAATTATTTCATTCTCATTTAATTTTTATTTTGTTAATAAATAAAATTGCTACGATGTTAAATATTGTAAATATATATTTTTATGATATTAGCAAATGTTATCTTTTATCTCTAATTGTTATTGAATTTTTTGATTTTATCAAATTAGTTGAATTTATTAAACTGACCTAAATTTTTTTTTTTTTTAAGAATATTTATACCGTATTGATATTTTTTCTTATATTGAAAGAAAAAATAGATCAACTTAGGAAGGTGAATCACCTATCCAGTAACACATGATCAATAGCGTGATGAGGTTATATTTCAAATACAACATGCAATCATCATTATGTAATTTATAATCCACAAGAAACGGGAAATCTCCTAAAGTATACCAGTAATAGAACAGACCATCTCTCTAATTAACAAAGAAATTAACAGACATGGGTTTGAGCCTTACAGTTGTATGCCTGTTAACCCCGCGTTGCCTTACCTGCTTACTAGGTTTGCAGGGTGTTCAGTAGGTCGTGGGAATTAATCGTGGTGGGCGCAAACTGGGCCGGATACCCCACATTAATAAAAAATAAAAATAAAAAAAAAGAAATTATCTTGTCTGGCCAACGTTTCAAGGTCTAGACAAATTATCTCCGGGCGTATCTAATAGCGTGCCGCCTCAGCCAAAGCTGATACATCACCATATGAAACGAATCGAACGGCTGCGGCATGTTATTCCACACAAAATGCTGGCTTGCCACCACACCCAATCTCCTTCTTTCCGCGCACCCATCATCCTTACACGTACGATCCAACACACGCTTCACTTCCTTAACACCACCACGGGACCCCACAAAAATAGCAATCTTCTGCCACCCGATCACATCCATTAACGGTAAGTCCTGCATCGGACGGTCCATAACCACTACAGGCACACACCCAAAACGCAATGCTTCACCAATCCCAGAAACATCAGCTCCATGCTCGAACAAACAGAAAACACTACTCCCTAATCTCCCCACTAAAGTCATTCCATTTGACGGCTCGGATTCAATCAGAAAATCGGAATCTTTTCTCAACTCGTTGACCAAATTCGATTCTTTAACCCCATTGTATCTTACAAAACCTAGATATTTCGCTGTCCTGTTCCCCTGCGCGTGTGATGAGCGTGTGATATTCGCGAGTGGAGGAAATGTAATATCTTTGTGAGGCACAAACCTACCTTCAGTCGCCGGGAAGCAGGAGATCTGAACCGAGTTTTTCTTCAATTCCACCAGATTTCGGTCAGACTCATAACCCAGACCAGCACAGGATACATAAAAATGATCTGCGCCTAGAGTGCGGTTCCAGTACGGGAACTCCATTCTGAGGTCTCTAATAAAACGCGCGACAGAGCGCGTGGAGAGATTGGAGGAGAAAGGAACAAAGTAGAGGTGAGCCTCTTCTGGGTTTTGGGTTGCAAAGGGACTAGTTTGGAGACAAGTGAAAAAATTAGATTCAGTGGGAGAAGAGAAAGAAAGGGCGTTTGGATGGGTATAAATGTAATTTTTGAAAGAGATGAGCATGTTTTGGTAATCGGGGAAGAGAATGGTGGGTGAGAGATAGAGTGAGGTGGAGTCAATCAGGGATTTGGAAACTGAAGTCAAGAGAGAAAGGCAGAGAAAGTAAATAAAAGTAGACATTCTAAAATCCAGTCAAGAACTTTCGCGCATTTAAACCTTAAATTTTCTGTTTTTTCGGCGTTGTGAGGTTGAAGATGAAGAGAGCATGGTCAACGGAGCTGAAACAGGAACTGAACGAGGTACCCGAAGCGAGCAGGAAAAGCATAGAGCAAACGCCACGCGACCGTTCTTGTGGGCCCAAACTAGGAATCAGGCACGCAACTGTCGGGAGGGAGAGTCACTGGTTCTATTCGTGACACGTGGGAAATGATGACATAAAAGAATCATTTACTTATTTTATGTCAATTAGAATAGAAGGTAGCTGTCCGGTTGGTGCAGCTGGTTTTCACTCCACACGCACACTCAGGAGGTCCCGAGTTCAAACCTTCTAACCCATGCTTAATTCAAAGTGTTTTCCCATATAAAAATAGTAGCAATTGTTTTCCATTTTCTTTTCCCCACCACATGGTTTCTCACGAAAAATTTTTATAGAAGCTTCGATTTTTTACAAAAACATTTAGCAAAGTTCCTTCACATTACAATTTCTTCTCTTCATTTCAAATCATATGATATAAAACCTGATTTTGATTATTTTTTTTGACAATTTAAGAAGCACTAGATATTGCTGCTTTTCTTCTTATTGTTGTTATTACCAAAAAAATCCGAGGGAGATGGATTGGGGAAACGTCACAGCAGAAGATCTAATCGGGGCATTAAAGGAAATAGATTGGACATCCCCTCCTCGTCCTCTCAATGAATTCCTCTCCAAATTCACGATTCCTCGCTCTTATTCCAAGTGGAGTAGCCGCCTCAAATGCAATCTCTACTAGTACTCCCCCCCATTTGAATATAGTTTGTTCATTTTTTGTTTAATTTAAAGCCGATCACACGTTTTTAGTTTGATCCAATCTTTTGTTAATTTTAGTCAACAGTGATGCACAATCTAGGGTTTCTTTTTAATCAATCAGTCTGTGTGGAAATCTTGAATTTTATTGCAATTGATTGCTCTTATTATTTGACATCTGTATAAGGGTTTTCAATTTCTTATTAAATCTTTTTATGTGTAGCTATCGGACAAATTACTTCATTTTGATACTACTGATTCTTGGTAAGTAAACAGATCCCCAATATTATTTCATTTTACCTTGAAGAGCTTCTATGTTTAGAACTAATCTTTATATTTTGGTTCAGGTGTTGCTTGTATCTTAAGGCCTCTGGCGATTCTAGCCACTGCGTTGTCAGCTCTAGCCATTGCTTTCTTTAATGATAGGTATGCTGCTTAAACTTAACGCATCCTTTGTTCCTAATTTCTTGTTGTTTCTTTGGTGGTCTGTTGAGGTGCTTAAAATTATGGAAATGCTAGAATGATTCAATTTTTTTATTGTCATCTTTCTGGTTTCGAAAGAGTTACCAAAGTAGGCAACAAACTATAAGCTACCGAATTCTTTGAAACTTCATTCTGCTTTCTTCTTCTTAAATTGAAGAACGATTCAATTGTTTTATTGTCATCATTCTGGTTTCGAAAGAGCTACCAAAGTAGGCAACAAACTATAAGCTTCTGAATTCTTTGAAACTTCATTCTAATTTCTTCTTCTTAAATTGAACCCGGTTTATTATGAATTTTGACGGTCTAGAATTTGTTGTATTTTGCATGGAATGGAGATACAGATTAATTGTCTTCTTATTTGCATGTGGGAGCATGGATTTCAATATAAAGACAGTATTAATTTATGCATGAATTAATGCTGTGTTATGGTTGTTCCTCTTCTCAACAAGAAAAACTGGTTTGTAATTGTGGAAGTAGTTGGTTTTGTATTTTAGATGAGTTAGCTTGATAAATAGATTTCAAAGGATGTTCCATAAAAGATTATCCTTAGCATGAAATTGATATAGATGTTGGGTGCTCTTAGCATGAAATTGATATAGATGTTGGGTGCTTGTTATATTTCCTAGGGGTGTGTTCGTTAGGTGGGATTGGGGGGATGGATGGATGTGGGATTATGGGTGAGAAGTGAAGGATTGGGTATTCACCTTGTTTGGAGACATAGGGAAGGATCTGAAAGAACCTTCCTATGCCACTTCAGCAGCTTGGGGGGGAGGGCCCTGATTACAATGGAGAGAACAGTTCACCTAACAAGTTATCAAGAATTATGTGTTTGAAGTTGGCTGTTTTTTTTGCTTTTTCTGTGCAAGCTATGCTATGCTTCTGAGTTGTGGAGTTTGGGGGAGAGGTTGGACAGTGATTGTGCAGTGTTATAATTATTCTACATACCTTTAGTTGTTCTTATGACATGATATATGCAGCAAACAATAACATTTGGTTGTCCTCTTTTGCAGTTTTGCAGCTAGTTTCAGTGAGAAGGTAACGAGAACTGTAAGGAAGTTTTCTCCACATTTGGCGGCAAAGATGAGACCTCCGCATATGTGAGTTAGTAAAAACTACTAATTTACCTTCTATTGCTCATTTCTGAAGTGGATTGCAGTTGTACTTACCACACATGCTTAATTTATGCAGGCCTGTTATCCGTGGCCGTCCATCAGCGAAAAAATCAGTGTACATTTGTGGCCAGCCTCGTTTATTGTTTGTCCTTTTATTCTCAGCTGGTAGTTAAAATCCCTGGGCTCTATTTCTAAACAATTCTGGGATATTTTGAGTTGTGATGAATGATACCTGATCAAATGTTTCCTTCTTTTCAACATCTCTTTGCAGCCAGTTTTCTTCTGTGGTATTCTTCTGGCAGTCTTTTGTATGTTTCGTGGGCGTACGTCATTAGCATCTTTGGTAAATTTCACGGTTCCTATATATTTGGTTTGAGCAATCCCTTGTAGAAAATTTTAGATCTAATTGATTACTCACATTTCCGTCTGCAGTCACTGTTCTCCATGCAAGCTTCAGAACACCTAATCTGAAAGCACGCCTCAACACATTCCGTGAAGAATTTCGTGCAGTCTGGCGCAATTACAGTGAGCTCTAACTGTCTGCGGAGTTAAAAAGGACGTCAGGATCAGTGCAAATCCTGCTCCGTACCTTGCGTTTCAGTTAAAGTGAGTATTCTTTGTAAAATGTAAATGGATAGTTCTCATCTTAATATTGAGTCAGTTAACAATATGAACTAGTCTGTAGCCTGTAGTGTTGCAAAATCCTGCTTTGCTATCTGCTTCTACGGTCGCTTGGCTGTATGGTAGATCTTTCGTCAGAGAGTCACGGGGGATTTTCTAATAGGAAATGGATTTGAAATTTCCTCATTTATAAATTCCTAGCGGATGAACTACTGTGCTGGTTACCGTTTGGTGACACTGCTGCCAGTGGTAAATCCGTAGAACCATTTTACAAATCGCTGGTGGGGTTGGGTATGGGACTGTAATCTCTATACTCGTGGTGTGCGTCTCCTGACTTTTGTGAACCGAAAGAAAACTTTTGTTTGATAACGAGGCATCTGGCATTGGAAAGTCAAAGATTAAAATTGGCCCGTTGCAAGAATTAAAACTTGCTCCTTGATTACTTTGGAAAGTCACAGGATTGTGTAGATAATGGTTGTTTTTTTAAATATTTTTTATTTAAAAATGTATCAAAATAATATTTTTATTTTTATTTTTAATATTTAATTTTAATATTAGTATATAAAAATCAATCTAAAAAAAATATTTTTTCTAAGAACACTTTTCAAAAAAAAAATGGGGCCTAATATCTTGTAAAAACAAGCACGGGACGCACTGAATCCCAGCTGTTATTACAAATCAAATACACACGTTAATTCCTTTTCTTTTCCTTGAAAAATGTGAAAAACATAATTAATGGATCTTTCAATCATCATTCACCGCGTCAAGTGATCGTGAAAGCTTATTCAGAGGACAACTTTGTAATTTGATTGCTTTTTAGAGGTTGTTTGTTTTGTTGTAAAAATTGTCTGTTGTTATTCATTTTTTGCAGCTCCATGTAAACAAAAAACAAGAAAAAAAAGGAAAGGAAAGGAGAAAATGCAATACATATTGGAAGAAAATCAAAAAATATATCAGAACACCCAAAAAATTATCAAAGATTGGATGAAGCAGACCAAATATCTAACATTGAAAATTTTGACAATGTAATTTTAAATAATGAATGCCATATTAGTAAAGAAAATTTAATTTGAGTAGAAAAATTTAAAATTTGATGTTTAAGGATCCAATTTTAATTTTTTAAGGTTTAATTAATTTTATGAAGGGTTTAATTGCAAGAAAAAAATATTTATGTGGTCAATTTAGACTTTATTTGAAAGAAATTAAATTCTAGGGTCAAATTATAGTTTTTAAAAGTTAATTTAATCAAATCAGGAGATTTAATTACATAAATTTTAAAGTTTGATGAATAATTAAACTTTAATTGAAAGAAATTAAATTCTAGAGTTAAATTATAATTTTTAAAAGTTAATTTAATTATAAAATTTAATTATATAAATATTAAAATTTAATGAATAATTAGATTATTATTTTTAAAATAAAAAAATAGCTCAGGACTACATACTCAGTTAAAAAGCCCAAAAAAACGAGTCCATGAGAAACTTTCAATGAAGAGTGGAGGATTGCGTGAGGAACGAGGCATTTGCCATGGGAAAACCAAACATTCAAATCGACCAATGGTAAGAATTGAATGCAAACGTAAACCAGGTAAATGAAAATATAAATGCAATCCCACTGATTTCTTGGAAACTTACATGATTACAGCAAACCATGTGTACTTGAGTTGAAAAAAAAGGCACAGAAAACCTCAAATCATAACCGTCATTATAAACTGAATACATGTATTATTGGGATTTAACCCTTTTATTTTGGAATGGGACAACCATCAAGTTGTTACACCATCATAATCATTGATGAAGAGACTCGTAAAATACTCTTGGTTTATTCCATTCGTCCGTTGTGATGAACAGCGTGGCAGATGATTTTTTTTGTGAGCGCGCTCCCCGTGCCAAATCTATAGAAAGAGATTACAAGGGCATGAAATGTTGGATTTGAGGAGAAAAATTGTGTTTAGTACTGTGATAATTTTTATAATTATATTTTGAATAAAATTATTTTATAAAAGTTGTATATAATTAATGGTAGTTTGATATTGATATATATTTAGTTAAATCTATTATTAGAATTAAAGTCGAATAAAAAATAATTTAATTTATTTAGTGATATGTATTAATATTGATAAATTTTAATTTAAATATTGTAGATTTAATTACTGCTATTGTATTATAAAATAAATAATATTTTATATAATAAAATTATTGATTCATTAAACTATTTACAATTCTATCACGTATGAAATTCATCCAACAAAAACTATAATTTCTATGATTTTTTAAGCGTGCAACAAAATCAGGTAAAATATCATTAGGGATAAAATTAGGATTATAATAAAATTTTACGAATGCTACGCTACCATGCAATCTTTTTTTAATTTATACAGTATCATTAAATAATATTAAATATTAATTTTTTAAATAAAATATAATTAATAAAATAGATTTTTTTACTATTCACATGTTCACTTTTTCTGGTAGAATGAATTAATTTATTCTACACTGTTTACTTAATAAAAATGAACATCATCTATGAAACTAACACCAAATTCTTTTTTTGAAATTATGTTTCTATGTTATTTTTTAATAAATCTTATATTTTAGAAATGCTGATTAATACTTTAACCAAACATTTTTTTATGGATGAAAACACAACCTCTGCGACGAAGATAAACACACTCTAAGATCCCCAAAAGTCTCCTGTAGAAAATGGCATCACACCAACCACAGAACTAAACAGCACTTGAGCACCTAACCTGGCCACAGCGGAGATAATGTTCCTCCTCCTACGACCTTGATTGCCATTGTGGGCGGCACGATGGCCCATTTGTCCTTGGTTAGGAGCCATCATAGGAAAACCATGGAAACCACCCATAAACTGTCGTGGGCCCATGTTCGCTCGGGTGGAGCGAGGGGAAGATCGAGGTGGGGTCTGGAGATCATAAAATGGCTCATAAACGCAGTCCAAGTGCACATCCACTTGGCAAATATCACACCCGTAACGCCATGATGTGCAAGCATCCCAACAAACCACGCACCTACTGGACATCCTTGGCTGCCGAAGTGTCAAGGAATGGTTAGGGAGGTGGCCGTGCTGCAACTTCGTCGGAATTTGTGTGCAAACTGGATGCACGTTGAAGTCACAAACGTTACATGCATAGAAAAGCCCGTCAGCACACTCTTCACATATGTCACACACTTTGCGGGTGCCAACAAGGCTGACAAGTGTTAACTCATGCACGTGCAAGCCAGATCGGAGCTTTTTGGGACAAGAGGCGCAATATTCATGAAGATCAAAATTGCAATAGGTGCACCTGTAGCTCTTCTCGTAACCACAGGTCCTGCAACCATCGCAGATGAATTCACCCCCTACGGGTAGGTGGAACTCGAAAAGAGGGTGAATGTGACTGGGGTGTCGTAACATTTGAGGCCTTGGAGATGATGGCATGCTCATTCTCGCCTTCTTCCTGTCCCGAACTGAAACAAAATGAAAGGAGTATACAGCTATTAAAGCTGTTGAGTTAATGTGTTATTGAGCAATGGAGGAGAGCGGGGAAGGCTAGCTATTTAAAGGCCTTCCATTTCATAAGAGGATACTCAAGAGAGAAGACGAAGGTGAAATCCACTTATTTTATAGCGCAATTAAACCCTGTTTTTAGATACAGAATCTTGCTTCATGGAATCAATTAGTGGAAGGACATATCATGGATGTATTGAAGTGTACAAGTTGAGGTTATTATATTTCCATCTTCAACCAGTGAGTCGAACTCCTCCATCCTGTCATCGTGCATGATAATCCTCCAATCCACCAACTAAATAACAGTAATGAAAGCGAGGGGAGATTGTTCAGAATTCTCTTTTCATTTTTTCTGAGATAAATTAATGAGCTGGAGAATCATATAATTTGTGGGTGATAAAAATATTCTTATACATCATTTTAATTGTTAGTTGAGATTAAACAATGAAGAACCAAAGAAGTAGACGAAAGGTGGGGTTTTTCAAGTCTTAATAGCAACACTAACTAACTACCTACTCGAATGAGTTGACATTTTCGCGCTACTTGGATTGGTCTGTGACCATGTCTATCTTGTTTGGCCATCGTTGCTGACCGAGTATTAATTTGTTAAAAAAATTATTTTTTTATATTTTTATGTGTTGATATTAAAAATAAAATTTAAAAAATAAAAAATATATTATTTTAAGATATTTTTAAATAAAAAAACATTTTATGAAATAACCACTAGTACACTACATAAACTCTTAACAGGAAAATTGCCTAATGAAATTGTCTCCAAGTGGAAAATTAACCGAGCCAATTAAAACATAGATGGTGTTAATATTTAATACTTGTATTGCTATGATTTTTTACATGAATAAGATTTTTTATTATAATTTTTTTTTATTTTTTATTAGAAATACTGAAAAGTTTGCTAGTTCTGTCTTGGATGTTTTAAAAAAGTTATGAGAGCTTCGTTAAAACTAAGATATTTGTATTTTGTGGGCATACAATAATACAGGTTAGGCTGGTGTGGTAACATGGGTGTGTACCGCGCAGATGAACACTCATGTCACCACAAAATAATTAAATACATCTAAAAATATTATATTTAATAAAATTAGAATTTGTGTATTTGCCATTTGGTATTATAAATTTACAGTTTGCATCTTTATTTTTTAATTATTTATTGTAAATTAAAAGATTTCTCTCGAGAATCAAGAAAATAAACCTAGTAGATTAGAAGAACTAAGCTAGACTCCTTGTTTTTCAATAGTCGAGGACTTATAAAACGACTTTAAGCTGTTCTTGGCTTTTGAGGAAATTGAATAATTAATCAGGGACAAAATTGTTATTTTCTTCTTACTAAATGGTAGAAATGATACGCGATTTTAGTAAATGATTATACCTTCGTGTACATATTTTTCTTGTCATGAACTATGATGTAAGCTGCTCCAAAGAATGAGTTAGATAGACTTTCGATTTTCCTGGAGGGGGAGACAGAAGGCGACAGACTGATTAATTAAAACAAGAGTCGGCTGATTAAATCTACTAAATTGAACACTTGCCATTTCCAGATGATTTATAATTTATTTATATATATATATATATATATATATAAAAGACTTTAAATTATGCGTTTGATGTCATTGAAATATTGGCCGGTGGGTGGAATTAGACTTTTAGCTCAAATTAGCTGGAAACGAATAATTTGGCTTCATTTAAAAAAAAATGAAAGAAAATAATATATATATATACCACTCGAGGTGGCCACTGTATAGGACTGTAGTCTCTCTTCACATTTGGTATCTGATGAACCAAAATGAAAGTTGCTGGGGGGATGAGGTGTCATCTAACAAAGGGGATGAGGGCCATTCAAACTACAAGTTTAAACGCGGAGCTTTTAAAAAATCTAAATGCATTATTTTTCATACACGTGTACACCTAGTGTACTGATATGTAATTTGATATGGTTGTAATTATATTGACTACTTGCTGACGGTGTTTCCAAGATAAGATATGTTTATAGAACGAGGTTTTTTTAGCGGTTAATTAGGTGAACTCTCAAACAGCTCCCCTGTGCAATATTCCAATGTAAAGAAAATTATTTTGATGAATATTTTTTAAGGACTATTTCATAATAAAATAAATATCTCATAGAGAGAAAAAATAATAATAGATATGCTATAAAATATTGAATTTAAAAACAAAGTTATTCATGTGTTGAATATTTATTTTTTTAATATAAAAAACTCATAGTTTAAGAAATAGTTATAATTCTTGAATCTTATCTTTTACTTGAACAAAGGAGAAAAAGTGATTTATCATGGTTACATTTATGAATTATAGATATTTTTAGCATATGTATTAACAATTATTAACTAGGAATAATATCTTTATCACATATATCCATAAGAAAATATATCTCCTCCATGTGTATTAATGAGACAATGACAATCTCATCAATTCTAAGTGGTTAATAACTTGTAGTTGATGTCTCGCAAACCAAGGTAGTTCATGATTATTATCTACAAAAGGTCTCTTTTGATGGATAGAGGGACTCTCTAGTGGTAAAATCAGTAATCTTATAAAAAAAATAACAATGATATTTTAGAAAAATAAAAATATATATGTGCCAAAAATATCAAGAATAAAGAGATTGTGAACACTTGTACCAAATGTCTTATGGTGTATTTATAGCTTATAAGTCTTAATTTTGTTTTGAAAAGAAGGATTTGTAGTGTCATTTCATCATAATAATATTTATGAAAGATAAAATATCTCTTACACAAATATTAACAAGCATTAATAAGAAAAAACATTTATTACATAAATATTTATAAGTATTATTAAACAAATATATAATGAGCATTAATAAGTAAAGAAGAAGAAAGGACTTGGTACATATTTTTGAATTTAAAAAATAAACTAAAACATATCATTTAGGGATTAAACTCAAGTGAATAAATCTAAAACCTCAGACCAAATTAAACAAAACACTTGAATAAAGGGGTTGAAATTGATCAAATCAATTGCCAAAGTGGAAAAAATAAAAGTTTGTTGGTCAATTAAGAGTCAAATTGCATAAATTTATAATCAATGATCAAAATGAAAGAAAGGTCAACTTAGAGGCTGATAATTGAATTTGGCAAGAGTGACATTGCTTGAAATTAAAATTTTAGAGGTAATTATGGATGCAATTAAAAGAAATTGAGAGAACATGTACTCAATTGAAAATTTTCAATCCCAAATTAAAAACCATAACTGACACATCATTCAAATTTAATGAAGAGAATGTGAGTGGCACATCATTTGATAAACTAACCTCTGTTTTAATAGTTTTGGCTAATCGAGTTGACAACTTCGAATAAATAAATGCAAAGCTATAGACTTTGAGATTATGCAATACTAGATCCAAATGAAAAATGTGAATCTCCTTTACCAACTTCACATAATCTCAGGTAATGATGACATCAGAATTTCTTTAAAGAGACCTTAAAAGTAAGCAACTTAGTCAATTATGACTGAAACATTATTGTTCAATAACCGACATTATTTTCATATATTCATACACAAAGTCTCCTACATGGATTCTTATTAAAGGTTTATAATATTTACCATAAGAATAAAAGGTCAAAAATGGATTTAATACTTTATAAAACCTTAATAAAACTCTATAAATACCCCGTTAAAAAGAGAGCTAAGAAGGAGAGGATATAAGGTTAAAAAATAGGAAAATATTCAAAAGAAACTTAAGTATAAGGGACTGGTTGTGTAAGGGGAAGACGCATCACCCTTAGTGCACCCTACCAAAAGTAAGCTGCATTGTTATTTGATTGTTTTTTCTAAATTTGGTTTCTATTCGTTGATCTTTTCTAAGTTTTAAGGTAGATTTCTCTTCATTAGAGAGTTTCTACTTTATTGGATCAAATTATAACTATTCTAAAGTCTAAATTTTAACATCGTATTTATTTATATCTTGTATCTTTAATACTTGAGATTATACTTTATCGTGTAATTTTATACCCCATAAATATTAAAGTCTATATCTGGATCCTAAAAAAAATTAAAAAAAATATTTTTGACATGTTGGTCAAATCCTAATGCATAATCATAAACTAGTTAAATATTCATTTTTGAATTTTTAAGCATAAAAAAGATGCAAATTTGTTTTTTATGAAAAATATGCTTGGAAAAATTTTAGGATTTTGTTGTATGCAACAAAATATTTTTTAAAAAAAATATTTTGAAATTTTTTATTTTTCTGAAATATATTAGAGAAAATTGGATATTTTAATACCATATTTTTATTTTACAATGTAAATATACAACTCGATATTATGCAAAATTGGTAGAAAAATATGCGAGAAAATTAAAAAATTTTGAAAATTTTTAGATTTAAAAAAAAAACAGTCCACTGCATGAACAGTGGATGTGAATTATAATTTACGCATATTGTTCACTTATGAACAGTGAAAATTTCATGCGGAAGATGAAGAACCAGGGGAAGGGTAGCACACCACCTGGCATAGTGGTGATAGCTAGCTGGCAGGGGAGGACAATCTAAAGCAATGGTGGAAACATTGATGGAGTTCGATGTCGGCTATGGAAGGAAGAAAAAAACATTACAAAAGGGAGAGAAATGCTGAAAGGAGAAGAGGAAGAGAATCACGATGGATGCTTGGTAACCTATTAGTGGTAGAAATGATGAGGGGCTCACATGAGGACAGTGATTGAGGTTGTGACAGATGGTGGTCGATAGTAGAGGAAGCAAAAGAAAAGGAAAAAAATTCACTAGAAGGGCTGCAGAGAGGAGAGAGAAATCGATGGTTACTCTTAGTGGTCGACTGGTGGTTGTGTTAGCTTCCTACGGTGGAGCTGATTGTAGAAAGACCGGTGATGAGGGTGGTGGTGGTTGAAGGCCACGGTGGAGGGAGAAAGAAAGAAGAAATGTGTAGAAATTGTAAAAAAAAATGGTTTTTTAGTTTATTTTAGACCTGATTTTTTGCTCTCTCAAGCTATAAAATTCACTTCTATTTATAGGCGATGGAAGAGGGCAATCTTGTCTATATCGAGGAAAAATTTCAGCCTTTCATTAGTTAGGAAGGATCCCAACCATCAGCTCAAAATAGGTATCATAAGTTGGTAATCTGCAAACAAAAGCTAACTGAGTTAGTCTCTTTAGATTGTTACTTGAGATGATGCATTGTCATTTAGCCTAAACTAATCACATGAGGTTATAGAGAAAGTGTAGAGGATCATTTTCATATAAGATTTATCAAATTTAATGGACATTAGTTATATTAAATACAGCTATAAAGTACGTAATAAGATCAATATTTTCAGGTAAAAAAGAAAGATAATGAAATGTGTTGAGTTCTGTTTTTACCAAAATTTATTTTAGTTCTTTCTCTTTGAATCACTTTCACTTGAACCCTAATTGATCTTAAACTTTTTTATTAAATGCAATTAAGCCTGTAATTTTAATCAATTAACTTCATAAAAATTAAATTTAGTCTTTTAAAATTCAAATCTTCTAAATTAAGCCAAAATTAGGCTCCTAGACTTAATTTTTCACCAATCAAGCCCAAAATAAAATTAATTTGACCCATTTAAAGTATAATTAAGTCATTGCACTTAATTAATTTTTTCAATTAAACCCAAATTAATTCTTAAATATAATTAAAATTTAATTTGGCCCATGATTAAATCAAATTAGTTTATTAAAAATTTAATTATGTCATTGGGCTTAAGTTTTACTCAAATTTGTTTAATAATCATTCAATTTGACCTTGAATTTGTATTTTTCTCTATTTTTAGGCATAATGGGGTACAATTAGGCCTTAAGTTTCCTAAAAAAATTACAGCTTGATTTTTTCCTATTTTTCTAGTCCTTCTTAATCTGCTTTATCCATATTATCAACCTTTATTTTATTTTTTAATTTTGAAAAAAAATATTTTTTGAGAAATAACCTAAAAATAGGTTATGACATAATGTATGAAAGGACCCTTGAGCAAGCATAGATTATCTTAAATATTTCAAACAAATCCTAACATTTAAAACTGCCTTTTATCCAATAAAGACCTGAAATTTAAAACTGTCTATTATCCAATTAAACCAAAATCAACTGCATGATTAATTACGAATTCTTTTTTACAAGCATTGGACACAATAGGTTATGTGAACCAAGAACCTGAGCACATTCCAACCAATTCCTAAAAGATATAAATTTGAATTAAATTCAAAATGGTAACTAATCCCAACATTAAAGTATTAAAAAAACTAAAATAAATAAAAAAATTTAAATAGTCTTATTCATGAAACATATAATTGTAATATGTATGTTGTATTTTGTTTTCTTAAGATTGTAGTTCAATGAGTCAAAGCACCACCTTATCAAAGCGGAAGTCGCCGGTTCGAGCCCCGTCAGTTCCAACAAATCCAATAAAAAAAATACATCAATTTATCTCTTTATTTTTTGTAAAGAGGGTGAAATAGCAAAATTTCATTTCCAAAGGAGATCCTTATTATTATTTTATATTTTTTTCTTTTTTCATCAAAGCAAATAAAAATATGACCATTTTCATTTCTTCAACTAATATCGATGGAGATGGATAAAGACACATGTGGATTAGTATAATTTTTTGTAGCGTCGTATTCAGGATTCTAAAAGAGACCTCACTGAATTTGGCCTTTTCGATTCCTCCCAATCTGTATAATCAAACCAAATCAGTTACCCTATCTTTTCCGGTAGCACATACACAAATAGAATTTTTATTTGTATGATACAAAATGACTTAATTTCTTTGATAAAATCCTTTTAATTGGAAAGGTCTCATCTTTTTTTGCCTTTAATGCAACTTTTTTATTGATTTTTTAAAGGTTTTTGATGTTTTTTATATAATAATACTATTGTTTAAATTTTTTTGTTATATAATATTGTTTTTGTTTTTGTTTAACTTAAAAAATGCATGTTCAAGCAAGAATGTTTCTTGATTGTGCTAGGTCTGTCCATGATCAAAATGAGTTTAAAAAATCTAATTTTAAATCATATTATATGAATATGTAGTATGTTTTAAGTTAGTAGTTTTTTTATTTATTACCTGATGCATGCTTTTGATGTTATTTGTTAGTTTTTTAAATTAAAAAATGTTTATGAAAGGTAGTGTGACATGTTCAGTTAAAGAAAACATGCTTTAGAAGACAAAAATATCATTTTTTAGGTTTGATAATGACTGCCTTTTACTAGGTTCATTGGGTTATAGACAATGTTTTTTGTATTTTTGAAAAGAACATTACCTTGACCTCATAATTTGAATCAGTTTTGGTCCGTTTCTTTACATTAAACCCTTTGAATAACTTAATTAGTTGATAATTTAGGGTTATTTGTATTAATAACAAGTTTTTGACATCAGAACTCATTTTGATAAAATCATAATATTTTAGTGATAATTAAAGTGAATAAATACTAGATTATTAATCCTTACATGATTTCCAACATATACGAGCCTTTGTTTTAATAGTATTTGGTATGATCTAAGTTTTACATTACTAGGCTTAAGTTTAAATGTTCTTTGTTTTTTTGTATTTGATCTATTTTGGTTAAGAATTTTTTAATTTTTGTGTTTTTTTATGTTTAATTTATTTTTTAGCTTTGATTTTGTATTTTGGTTGTTTTGGAGCCATCAAGATTTTGATTTGATTCATGGTAAATGATCAAATTATTTTCATGTATATTTTATTTGTTTATAAAAAATTATATTTTTATTATGCTCAGAAAAAATAAATAAATAAAAGGCAGTCGAGGCTCCATAAATAGTTTACCGAACACGCTTTTGACCGAAAGCGACATAGGAAATGCCTAGTCTTCTTCTGGTAGGTTTCCGTGTGGAACTATGAAGTCAAGTCGTTAACCAAATGCAAGGATACTTCCACGAAAATGAATGTCTGCTTTCCGTGTAGTTTCGACTTGCACTCCAAGTAAAATAAAATTTTGCCCTTTATATTTTCCTATTGTATGTGTCAAGCACTATCCGCAACTAAAACCTCTCAAGTCTCATCCATTTGATTTCCAATATTTGCTTCCATTTTTATCTGGCAATTCACAAATGGCTTCTTCAAGTCGTCACCAAAAGCAACTGTCACTCACTCCTCGTGATAATCACTCTCATGCCTGCATAATCCAGGAGACGAAAACTTCATTTTCCAAGATGACCATAACCACCGGGACGCCGCACAATCAGCGGCCTATATCGAAGGGAAATCATATTGCCCTTGAACAAGGAGTCGTCAACAAAATAAAGAAGCCTACCATCGACAAACAGAGGCTAGTCGTTAAGGAGCAGAAGCATGAGTTCAGAGAAAAGAAGATCGTGAGCTCCTACACTGCAGTAGAGAAGGAGAAGAAGCGAATCCCGCACAAGCATAGAAGCGGTGCGTGTGTGTGTGTGCGCGTATTTAATTATGATCATGATCATGTGCATGCGTTACAGATTTTCCCTCTTTTTTTCATCTGATCTTTTTGGCGCAACTTGTGAAATTGCAGGGGGCACTTTAGAAGTCACCGTCAAAACAAAATTTTGACATTATCATCTCTCCGTCACCGAAGCCATCGCAAACTTGAAGTTCCAGTGAGTTTCCGTCCTGTCAATAAACATTTCTACAAGTCTCCTTTAGGCTTTAACCTCAACCAGCTGATCAATACCATCAAATTTAACAATCTTTCATCAATAAAACATCAATTAGAACAGAAATTTTTAAAAGCAAAAGCTACTGTGGGTTTTTTTTAAAAATCACTATTTAAAATCACAAAGAAATATTGGAGAAAGAATTAATTGTCCAAAATATATTGTTAGCTTTCCATCTTCACTTTGTAACTAGTTGTGCTTTAATAATTTCAGGAATTTCTCTGGTGGTGTGCACGTCAGAAGGCAACTTGCATGTATAATTAGCAATTATGCCGATGTAGAACGTTTTTTTTTTTTTTTGTTAAATATGTATTTCCCTATGGTTTCCCTTGTTATCAATACCCCCCCGGCCTTAAAATAAAAGGGTTCTTGTTACATTGTGTATGTTTAATTGAGGATTAATCCTCTTCAGGCAATATATATCAGGTTTGATGTGTGGATTGTATACCTATGATTTGCGTGTCTGTTAATTAATCAGCAGAGACTTGAAAAGAAAGAAGGAAGGAAAAGGAAAAGGAAAAAGAAAAGCATCTAACCAATTCCCCAAGAAGGTTACTGAGGTATTGGCTCATCTGATAATATATAGATCCGCTTTTTAAATTATTATCCCGCATTAACGTTTGAATTGTTCTACAAGAAAATAAAATTCTCTTCGGTTTAGATGTGAATAATTTTAGAGAAACATCTGACAAGGGTATAGTTTGCTCTCAAAAATAAAAACACTAGCTCAAGACTACATACCCGGTTAGAAGGCCCAAAAAAATAAGTCCTTGAGAAACTTTCAAGGAAGAATGGAGGATGACTGGAGGAACGAGGTATCTGCCATGGGAAAACCAAACATTCAAAGCGGCCATTGGTAAGAATTGAAAGCAAACGTAAACCTGGTAAATGAAAATATAAATGCAATCCCATTGATTTCTTGGAAACTTACATGATTACAGCAAACCAGATGTACTTGAGTTGGGAAAAAAAAAAGAGGCAAAGTAGACCTCAAATCATAACCGTCATTACAAAATCAATACATGTGTTATTGGGATTTCACCTTTTTTCTTTTGGGTTGAGAAAACCATCAAGTTGTTACACCATCATAACCATTGATGAAGAGGCTCGTAAAATACTTTGGTTTATTCCATTCGTCCGCCGTGTGGAGAATGAAGAACTGCGTGGCGGATGCTCTTTTCGTGAGCGCGCTTCCCATGCCAGATCTATAAAAAGAGATTGCATGAGCATGAAATGTAGGATCTGAGGACTAAGATCCCCAAAGGTCTTCTATTGAAAATGGCGTCACACCAATCACAGAACCAAGCAGCACATTAGCAGCTAACTTGGCCACAACGGAGACAATTTTCCTCCTACGACCTTGATTGCCATTGTGGGCGGCAAGATGGCCCATTTGCCCTTGGTTAGGAACCATCATAGGAAAACCAGGGAAACCGCCCATAAGCAGTCGTGGGCCCATGTTCGCTCTGGTGGAGCGAGAGGAAGATGGGCTCGCGAGACATGCCTCGAATTGCGGTGAACCCATATTTGCCTCCATGGACCGAGATCGAGGTGGGGTCTCGAGCTCATAACAAAATGGCTCATAAACGCAGGCCAAGTGCACATCCACTTGGCAAATATCACACCCGTAACGCCATGATGTGCAAGCATCCCAACAAACCACGCACCAACTGGACATCCTTGGCTGCCGAAGTGTCACGGAATGGTTAGGGCGGTGGCCGTGCTGCAACTTCGTCGGAATTTGTGTGCAAACTGGATGCACGTTGAAGTCACAAGAGCTACATGTATAGAAGAGCCCGTCAACACGCTCTTCACATATGTCACACACCTTGCGGGTGCCAACAAGGTTGACAAGTGTTAACTCATGCACGTGCAAGCCAGATCGGAGCTTTATGGGACAAGTGGCGCAATATTCATGAAGATCAAAATTGCAAAAGCTGCACCTGTAGCTCTTCTTGTAACCACAGGTCCTGCAACCATCGCATATGAATTCACCCCCAATGGGTAGGTGGAACTCGAAAAGAGGATGAATGTGACTGGGGTGTCGTAACATTTGAGGCCTTAGAATGATGGCATGCTCATTCTCGCCATCTCCCTGTCCTGAACTGAAACAAAATGAAAGGAGGATACAGCGATTAAAGCTGTTGAATTAACGTGTTATTGAGCAATGGAGGAGAGTGGGGAACGGCTAGCTATTTAAAGGCCTTCCAATTCATAAGAGGATACTCGAGACAAGACGAAAGTGAAATCCATTTATTTTATAGCGCAATTAAACCCTGTTTTTAGATACAGAATCTTGCTTCATGGAATTAATTAGTGTGAGGACATATCATTGATGTATTGAAGTGTACAAGTTGAGGTTATTATATTTCCATCTTCAACCAGTGAGCCGAACCCCTCCACCCTGATATCGTACTTGATAATCCTCTAATCCACCAAGTATATAACAGTAATGAAAGCGATGGGAGGTTGTTCAGATTTTTCTTTTCATTTTTTCTGAGATAGATTAATGAGCTGAAGAATTATATAATATGTGGGTGGTAAAATATTCTTATACGTCATTTTAATTGTTAGCTGAGATTAAACAATGAAGAACCAAACAAGCAGACGAAAGGGGGAGTTTTTCAAGTCTTAATAGCAACACTAATTAATTACTCGAATGATTTGACATTTTCACGACAAACTCAAAGTTGGATTGGTCAGTGACTAAAAGTCTATCTTGTTTGCCCCTCGTTGCTGACCGAGTTTAATTTGTTAAAAAAATTGTTTTTATGTTTATTTTTATTTAAAATTATTTTTTTATTTTTATATATTAATATTAAAATTTAGATTTAAAAAATAAAAAAATATATTATTTTAATATATTTTTAAATAAAAAATATTTTATAAAATAACCACCACGGAAAATTGTCTAATAAAATTGTCTTCAAAGAAAAAAATAACCAAGTAAATTGATGTTAATATTTACTCCTTTTACTGCTATCATTTATTAATTTTTTATTATAAAAAAAATAGAAATACAGAAAAGTTCGGTTTTGTCTCAGATGTGTAGTGGTGTTAAGAAAAGTTATGAGAGCTTGGTTATAACTAAAATATTTATATTTTGGAGGCATGCAGTAAAATAGGTTAGGTTGCTGTGGTAAGATGAGTGTGTACCGCGCAGGTGGACACTCATCTGACCACAAAATAATTAAATACATCTAAAAATATTATATTTAATAAAATTAGTATTTATGTATTTTGTATTATAAATTTATAGTCCGCATCTTTATTTTTTAATTATTTATTGTAAAAAGATTTCTCTCGAGAATCAGGAAAATAAACCTAGTAGATTAAAAGAACTAAGCTAGAGTCCATGTTTTTTAATTTTAGAGTACTTATAAAACAACTTTAAGCTTTTTAATTGGAGGAATTTTTAAAAAGTGTGTTTTGTGGATTTAGATGAACAAATAAAATCTTAATTATTTTAAAAAAAATACACGTTTTATTTTAAACTTAAAATCTACTACATATATTTTAAGCTATTTTTGGCTTTTAAGAAGGTTGAATAATTAATTAAGAATAAATTTGTCAATTATTTTTAATAAATAGTATAATTTTTAATAAATAGTATAAATGATATACGAATTTAGTAGATGATTGTACCTTGGTGTATTTTATTTTTATTTTTTTGGTCATGAACTCTTATGTAAGCTGCTCCAAAGATTGAGTCAATAGACCTTTGATTTTCCCGGAAGGGGAGACAGAAGGCGACACACTGGTTAATTAAAACAAGAGTCGGAAGATTAAAAAGCTACTGAATTAAACACTTGCCCCTTCCAGATGATTTATAATTTATCACATCCATATATATATAAGACTTTAAATTATGGGTTTGTATCTCAGTGATCTCATCTCAAGCCGCGTTCTGATGTCATTGAAATGTTGGCCGTTGGGTGGAATTAGACTTTTAGCTCAAATTAGCTGGAAACGAATAGTTTGGCTTCATTTTTTTTAAATAAAAAAATAAAAATAGTATATATATATATATATATATATATATATATATATATAGAGAGAGAGAGAGAGAGAGAGAGAGAGAGAAGATAATGTTGCATGCAGGATAGAATAGTAGCCGTGGAAGAGTTCAAGCTCAGCCAATCACTGTCGTGACACGGGATTGAAAACAACACCTTGGAGTCGACTACATTAGCGTGCACTTAAATTCTTCTCCTCGATTTTCTTTTCTCCTCTCATCCTTGCCAAGTAGCTGGAGCTTATCCCACCTTTAAAGCTGCACAAACAATCCAGTCGAACCATCATAGTACAGTTTGTATATAAAATGCCATTTTTGTTGTTTGGTTTGGTATGACTTTTATAAAATAATTTAAATTATTTTTTATCTTTTGATAGAAAAATCATAAATATGTTTGTATTGTTAGAGATAAATATAAAATTAAGTCAGATGTATTCTTTATGACAAATTTTAATTTTGAATTTTTAGATTCAAACTCATTCCACACTTCTTTCAAAAAATTATTTCAAGTCTTTTTTTTTTTCTTCGTAAAACAGACTGGTTAATTAAAACTCCTATGTAAGCTGCTCCAGAGAATGAGTCCTTTGATTTTCCTGAAAGGGGAGACAGAAGGCGAGACACTGGTTAATTAAAACAAGAGTCGGCAAATTAAAGCTACTAAATTAAACACTTGCCCTTTCCAGATGATTTATAATTTATCACATGTGTATATATATATATATATATAAGACTTTAAATTATGCGTTTGTATCTCAGTGATCTCATCTCAAGCTGCGTTCTGATTTCATTGAAATATTGGCCGTTGGGTGGAATAAGATTTTTAGCTAAAATTAGCTGGAAACGAATATTTTGGCTTCATTTTTTTTAAAAAAAAAATTATATATATATGCGTGTAGTCTCTTCACATCTGGTATCTGGTGAAACAAAATGAAAAATTGCTGGGAGGGATGAGGTGTCATCTAAAAAAGGGGATGAAGGCGATTCAAACTACAAGTTTAAACGCGGAACTTTTAAAAAATCTAAATGCATTATTTTTCATACACGTGTAAACCTAGTGTACTGACATGTAATTTGATATGGTCGTAATTATATTGACTACTTACTGATGGTGTTTCCAACATAAGATATGTTTATAGAATGAGGTTTTTTTAGCGGTTAATTGGTTGAACTCTTAAATAGCTTCCTTATCCGATATTCAAAATTATTTTGATGAATATTTTTTAATACATATAAAAAGTTATATTTTAGAAATTTTAAGGACTATTTAATGATAAAAAAAAATATCTTATAGAAAAAAAATAATAGTAAATATGTTATGAAATATTGAATTTGAAAACAAGATTGTTCTTGTGTTGAGTCTTTATTTTTTTAATAAAAAAAGTTTGTCGGAGTGGATAATTTAATAAATAATTATAACCCTTAAATCTTATCTCTTGTTTGAGAAGAGGGGGAGAGTGATTTTAACATGATTATATTCATGGATGATAAATATTTTAACATTAACAAGAAAATATATCTCTTACACGTATATTAATGGTTATTAGTGAAAAAATATCTCTATCACACATATTAATAAGTATTAATAAGAAAAAATATCTTTTATACGTGCATTAACAAGACAATAACAATCTCGTCAATTCTTTTTAACCAAAATGGTTGATGACTTGTACTCAATGTCTAACAAATCAAGGTAGCTTGTGACTATTGCTAGTAAAGAATCTATTTTGATGGACACAAGAACTCTCAAGTGATAAAGTTAATAATCTTATAAAAAAAATACAATGATATTTTAAAAATATAAAAAAATATATTTTATAAAAATATGAAGAAAAAAAGATTGCAAACACTTGTTCTTAATGTCTTATAATATATTTATAACTTATAAGTTTTATTTTTTAAAAAACAATTGTAGTGTAATTTTATCATGATAATATTTATGGGAAATAAAATATATTTTATAAAAATATTAACAAGCATTAATAAAAAAAACATTTATTACATAAATATTAATAAGTATTAAAAAAGAAATATACAACGAGCATTAATAAGCAGAGAAGAAAAAAAAACTCAGCACATATTTTTAAATTTAAAAAATAAACTAAAATATATCACTTAGGGATTGAACTCAAAGGAAATGCTAAGAATGCCTAGCAATAAAATTAACTATCATATTTTTCAATAATCTTGAAACTCGCAAGATTTAAAATAATAATTTTTAAAAAATAAATCTAAAACATCCCTAGTTAAATTATAATTTTCAAGGTGGTCTGGTCTCTCTTTGACGTCACGCCACGTTGTCATTCTCCAGAAAATCACGCACACGCTCTCTCTATAAATTTTATCGAGTCTTGAAACTTTATCAATCGAGTTAGATCCATGGGTGACGGCCCATGTGCATCCTACTCAGGTTTGGGTTTTAGTGGAGGCCCTCTGCTATCAAAATGGAACAAGAAGCCCAAACGTCAGGCCATAATTGTGAAATATCGCGGTAATCCTTCGCAGGTGGTTTCCGTGAAAAGTAAAGCTCTGATCTGGTGGGAGTACCAACAGCGACAGAAAGTTCTCACACGCTGTAATGGAGCGTGGAATCACCTCCCAATCTTGTAAGACAGAGAGAGAGAGAGAGAGAGAACTGGTAACTAGGTAGACGTCAGCCAGTCTCCTCTTCCCTCTTCCTTCCTGCCTACGATAAGCAACAGAATTCTAGGGTTATCTTCTCTCCAACCCAAAAGTATCTAAAAACTTAATTAGTTTATACTTTTATCGTTGTCTGATCTCAATTTTTTAATGGACGAGTCTTATGATAATCTCCCTTCTAGCCATTTACTCGGTTCAGTACCTGTAAGTATAATTTGATTTCTTTCTAGAGAAATCAATGCTATTGGATACGCAATTCTTTCGTTTTTTAGTTATGTTTTTTATTAGAATGGGTATTGAGATTACTTTGGAAAGTATTAATTTCTCGCTGACGAATCTTGTGGCTTGATAGTATTAGTTTTTTCTTGATTTTTCATATCTTTATAGGCTGTGGTCACTGAAGAAAAAGCAAAAACTGTTGTGAATTATGAAGGTATACGAGTTTTTTTGGTTTCTTTTTTTGGAATTTTAGGGTTTTTCTGTTTATGGTTGAAGTTGAATTTCTTACTATCAATTATGAACTTAATGTCCAGTTCCCGAAGCAAATATGCAAGCCTTCCCTAGAAATATTAATGGAGGCGGTGGTCGCGGTTATCAAACTCTTGGAAGTGTACCTGGTATGGTTTTTAAATAATTCGCTATGTTGGTGGATATGCTATTCAAAATAATCTGGTTAATCTCCTGTCTTACTACTGTCGCTGACATTTCATTGAAGTCTTGAATATGGTTTCTCCACTTTGACAAATTTAATATGAACATCTGTCTAGGTAATGAGGAT